CCTCCCCCAGGTCCACTCCGTCATGTAGCCTTCTCTCTAGACTCCTGTCATGACAAAAATACCTAATCACATATCCCTTTTAAACAGTTTTCTCCCTTATCTGTTTCAATGCAGTATACATTATTGGACCCATCTTTCTCAGTCTCTCCCCAACCCCGAGGTCAGTCCTGTTTTACAACAGTGGCACCATACAGTATTTGTCCTTTGTGACTGAGATACTTCACTCAGCGTAATGTTCTCCAGGGTCACCCATTTTGAATAATATTCCATGAGTTCCTTGTTTTTCAATGCAGCGTAGTATTCCATTGTGTGAATATACCACAGCTTGTCTTTCCATCCGTTTGTTGATGGGCAAGAACAAATTCTTTTCATTTCCCTCACCCCCCCTCCATCAAATTGTACAACCCTATGATTTATTACCCCCTCGCCCTGCACATCCTCATCTCTCTGCTTCCAACTTCTCCCACCCCTCCACAAACTGCCAAAAGAACAGACATCTTGGAAAAGAGTGCCTCCAGAGTGGCTCCTTGAAGGCAAAACTTCATCTTTTGTAGTTTGTACAAAATAGACACGTAGTAGATGAAGTTATTCCTTGGAAAAGGACATCATGCTTGGAAAGATGGAGGGCCAGGGAAGGAGAGGAAGACCATCCATGAGATGGACTGACATGGTGACTTCAGCAATGGGTTTGAGTGTGTCAGAGACGATGAGGATGGCACAGGATAGGGCAGGGTTCAGGTCAGCTGTTCATAGGGCTGCTGTGAGTCATACATGACTCCAAGGCAACTAACAACAGCAGATGACAGCAACGTGCCCTGAAGTATGTGAGATGAAGCTTTGCCATTCTTGCCTCCAGGGAGCTCACTGGTTGCACCTTCTCCAAGATAGATCTATTCATGGCTATACTCATCATTCATACATACTCCCCTAGAAAGTATTTCCAGTGGCAACTGTCTTCAGAGAACTCCAATGCACTTCATTATCCACATGCTCCTCAGGGGCACCAGTCTGATATCCTTTCCCAAATACCAGAGCCTTTATAAGGATCATAGTCTCATCTGTTTAGTATCTTGAGTTAGTGGTAACTTCTTTTATGTCTCCTTTTGCAAAATATTTTTCCTAATGAATCTCTTTTTTTTTTTTAAACATGGAAAAGTTCAGACTCTTGTTTTTCTATTCTTATTTAACAGGAGGAAAACTCAAATTTATGAAGTAGATTTTCTTGGCAATCACCTTTAGGAAATAGCTGGCAAAAAGCTTTCTAAAGGTAATTCCAAACTTTTGCATACATGCTGTGGTCTTTTCTTACAGTATTGATCCAACAAATTATTTTAAAAGGAAAAGCCTTTGGGAAAATTCAAACTTAAAAAAAATAATCCCTTTTCTTAGTGCTTTAACAATTGCTGGCATTTTTAAAAATCTTAGTCTATCCCTTTATTTCTTCTCTCCTGAAGAACTATTTTGAAGCAAATCCTAGAAATGTAATTTCATCTCTAAATGGGTTAGCGTGTGTAGTCAAGTAACCTCATGGACTGTGCTTAAGTAAAAGCCAATGAAGTTCACTGAGAAATAGCAAACTACCCAGCTGGAGAACTGACCCTTGTCACAGAGTGAGAGTGGCCGATCTCAGAACAATAAAAAATGAGGCATTTTTGTATTATTGGACCAGGAACTAAAAGTTATAAAATTTTTACAGCTTGAAGGACCAGGGGGGCACTAAAGATGAGATATTTCAAAAGAAAAATTTTATTTTCTTTTTATTAATTTTTGGCAGCAATTACATGTGGGTGAGATTATGTGGTGGGTCAAAAGTGCAAGTCACTCAGTTTGTTTCAAGGTGGTGTCAGGATGGTGACATGATCTGTAACCTAGGGACCTATCATAAATACCTCTCCTTAAATGCTTTCAGGCCTTTCTGCTAGCACATCTAGAATCTGTGATAAAAAAAGAGACCTTTTGGAAATAAATGAGATTCCATTCATTTGGCAGATCTCAGGGAAAAGGTATGTCTCTAGGGGATATTTCCAGGTCAACCATCAAGGATAAAGGAAGTGCTGTTTAAAAAAAGTCCAACATGTAGGCTGCTGCCTTAAGTCAGGGATTTGGATCCACCACGCAGCATGAGAACACGGGACAGTATCCTCCTTAAGGATTACAACCTCAGAAGTCCAGTGAAGGGTGATCAGGAGTCATCATGCCAGCAGCAAAGAAACCCTGGTGGCGAAGTATGTTGTGTACTGGACCACTAACCAGAAGGTTGATAGTTCAAATCTACTAGCAACTCTGATGGAGAAAGATAAGGCTGTCCTCTCGTTAAGATTTACAGCCTCAAAAAAAAAATATTTACAGCCTCAGGGAACTGATGCAAAATCACTATCAGTGGGAATCAGTTGGACAGCAGTGGGTGTTTATTGTGGTTCTGCAGTAGGGAATTTCTACTTCTCAGGACAGCTCAGGGGAATGTTACTACATACTTGACAAATGTGATGTTAAAAATCTCAAGTATTGGTGAGCTCTGGTGGCCTAGAGGCAAGAAGCTGCACTGCAATCCCAGCGGTATGAGGTTCAAATCCACCAGATGTTCTGCTGAAGAAGGAGGGACAGTCTCCTCCTGTACCAGTCAGATCCAATTTGACGGTACGCACATAAAAAAGTAATTTAAAAAAATGTCAAGTATGTGTGCTGCGGTTTGAGCCCTGAGAAAGGAAGTGTGGTCAAGTCTGTAATATTTTACTCTCTATCTGTGCCTTTCAGTCTTGGCAAAAAAATCCAGGTTCCAACTTGGGGAGGGAAGGAGGGAAGTCCAACATGTATTCCAAACTCATGTTAAGATTTTTAAATATGAAGTTAAAGCTCCTCTTTTAGACTGTCCTACTTACACACAAACCTGATTTTAGATCTTCATGTACTTACATCTCTAAAAAGAAATATCCATTTTTTTAAAATTCGCCACAATACCAGTGTCTTCCTTTTGACACAGTGACTGTGGCAGTGGGATCAAGTGTAGGGGATGGTGAGGTTAGCTCAGCTTAGGCCAAGGTGCAGAGCTTGTTCATAGGGTTGCTATGAGTCATAGCCACTTGATAGCACGTAGAACAAATCCTTTGAGTGCTCGCTTTGGCAGCACGTAGACTAAAACTGGAAGAACACAGAGAAGATTAGCATGGTCCCCGCACAAGCATGACACACGAATTCGTGAAGCGTTCCATATTTTTTGAAAAAAATAAAAACAAAAACATCAACACCTTTGAAAAAAGTAGTATTTGCTTAATATCAAATATCTACCTAGTGTTTAAAATTTAAATTCACCTATTGTCTCATATTTGTATGGAAGCAGTATTCAAAAAATAAAATTATGTATTGCATGCAACATATCTGCTATTGAGGGACCTCTCTAATGAGATAGAAAGCAAATATGTCCTTTTATTTATTATTTTTTATTAATTTTAATGAAAGTTCACAGAGACTTTGAATTTCCATTCACTCATTGTTGCACTTTTCTCCCTGCCCAACCTCCCCCCAACCCGAGTTTGCTCTTCTCTTTGAAATGTAAAAGAAAAATTCTTTCATTGTTATACAATCTCTCCCCTCAAGTCCACTGCACTATGCAGCCTTCATCCTGGACTCCTGTCATGACAATAATACCTAATTATAGATACCTTTTAAACAGTTCTCTCATCTGTTTCAATGCAGTATACATTATTATTTTTTTTATAATTTTTTTATTTTATTTTCTTATTTTTGTGTGAATGTACCGTCAAATCAGATCTGACTGGTACAGGAGGAGATTGTCCCTCCT